AGACCAAGGGCATAGCCATCTACCATGTTTCTGGGTCCCAGGAGACTAGGGGGAAGCCATCTGCCTAGCTTCTCCCTCCCCCCATCCCTGACCCGGAGCACTGAAGCCAGCAGCATCCGCTCCTCTTCCTCTGTCCACTAGTGAGTGTCCTCCATTATGAGGATGGAGCAAGACCATTGTAAAAAGGAATTGGTACTGAGAAGCACCAGATGAAAAGTAAGAGATGCTCGTTAAAATAGAAGTAACTTTATTCCTCATCTTCTCAATTCCCCATTCCACTCCCTCCATAGATCCTTCCATTTCCAACCCACTACACCCCAAGAGAGTGTCTCTGATTGCAAGTTACAGAAATCCAAATCAAACAAGTTGGGAAAAAATTAACTCGTTCACCCCTATATCTGAGAAGCCCAAGGGTAGTGCAGCTTCAGGCAGGTTGGATTCAAGTGCTCAAGAATCTCTCCGTCACACTCCAACCTGCGTTCTGCTTTCTTCTCCGTTGCCTTTGTTCTTTGACAGTCTCTTTCCAAGTGGTGGAAAAGTTGGCTTACGTGGTCATGCCTGCTCATCATCTCAAAAAGGGAGGGATCATTTCTCTTGCAGCATTTACATCAAATCCTAAAAAAACACATCTGCTTGGGTTGTGATACTGGACAAAGCTCTGTGTCCCGGGGCATGGGGTACTCCTATTTGCTATCCTGGGTCAGATGCTCTCCAGAAAAGTGGGTCTCAGAATCACAGGGACTCGTGAGGGTGGGGTGTGTGTGTGTGTGTGTGTGTGTGATGCTGGTGGTGGTGGTGAGATGACAAATTCTAAAAGGAAGGGATGGTGGCCACTCACAAGGGTACCTTCTGCCCACAGGTGCTTCAGAGACAACAGCCAAGGATCATCCTATAGCTCCCCAAACAAAAAGTAAAAACCTCTCTCTGCCACTCAGCAGAAGCTCGGTGCAGAGCACTCAGCAATTCCAGCCTAAGAACATCTGCATTGCAAGACCAAGAATGCCTGTTTGGCCTTGGCACATGGAGGGTATTTGCAAACCTTTGCAATTCCTCAATGCAGGGAGCAGAAGAAGCCCTCCAGCTCTGTGAAAATCACTCTCGCTTCCCCCCTCCAGTAGAATGACAGTTCATGACTGCAGCCCTGCACCTGCCCCACTGAACAGGACCGGCATAGTCCTGAAAATCTAGGGACAAGGGAATCACTTGTTTACCCTATAAGTGCAAAGCTAAAGGGGAACTCCAGAGAATCAAGTACAAGTTCTCAGGTAGTCCCGAGAGGGTGACCGCTGAGTTTCATATAGGCAAATATAAGGTAATCTTACCCAGAGGGGCAAAAGTCCGAACTCACTGAGAGTAAAACGATGACAGCAGAAATAACAGCTAATCTTATTTGCTGAGTGCCAAAGCACTTTTTATAGATTATCTCATTTAATTCTCACAACCGCCCTATAAGGTAAGTTCTATCATCATATCCATAATTTGCCAGTGATCGCATATGCGGTAGGCAGTGGCTGAGTGAGGATTCACGCCTGGGCAGTTTAACTTGGAAACCATGCTGCTGAAGCATCCATCCATCCATGCGTCCATCCACCCAACGATTATGTGGAATCCCTACTACCTTCCAGATGCTAAGATACAGCTGTGAACAATGCAAATACAAATACACGTCTTCATGAAGCTCACCTTCTAGTTGGGGAGAGAGACGGGAAGCCAGATCAAGAAATAAAACAAACTAGGTTAGAGAGTGGTCAGTGTTAAGGAGAAAACTAGAGTAGGGAAGAGAGATAAGTGTGTGCCTTGGGGGTCAATTCTGATTAGGGTGATCAGGCAAAGTCTCATTAAGAAGGTGACACCGAATAAAGATCTGAGGAAGTGAGGGAGCAAACCATGCAGATATCTGAAGCAAGAGCATGGTAGGTAGAGGAGACAGCATAGACAAAGGCCCTGAGGAAGGAGCATGGGTGGCACGTTCTAGAAATAGCAAGGAGTCCAACATGACTTGAGCAGATGGATCAAGGAACAGAGCAGGAGGAGATGAGATCGGAGTGGTAAGTGGGACCGGATCTTGTAGGGGCTTTGAGGGTGGCTTTTAGGATTTTGTCTTTTACTCTGGTGCGGTGCAGCCATTTGGGTTGGAGCGGGGAGGGACATGAAATGACTTACTGTCACAGGATCACTCTCGCTGCTCTGTGAAGGGTCTGTAAGGGGATGCCAAGAAGCGGGCTGCAGCAGAAGGCAGCAGAGATGGGGAGGCTCGGACTGGGGGGTGGAGATGTGGCAAGTGCTTCAGTTCTGGGTTTACTGTGAAACCAAAGGACTGGCTGACAGGTGGGGCGTGTGAGAAAGAGCAGTCAGGGACGACTCTAAGGCTTTTGGCCCGAGCAACCGAAGACAGGAATTGACATTTTCAGAGATGGGGAAGAATGAGGGAGGAATGACTTTTGCTTTTGTGTTTGTTTTAAAGGGGGGTTGTTTGAAGGGACTGTCAGGTCTCAGTTTGGCACATATTAAACTGCAGATGCCTATCAGACATCTGAAAGGTGATGGTGAGTGGCAGGTCTGGAGTTCACGGGAGACGTCCATCAGGACAGGAGTTATAAGCTCTACAAACTACACTCTACTCACTTAGAGTCAGTGAAGACACTGACCCACATGTGATTTTTGGAAAATGATGACTGTACCAAAAATACTGAAACAGTATTAAGGAAAATCAAATTTAAAAATTCACCCATATCCTGCCACCCTAAAAATAGCACCTTTCATTTCTTCACCTTCACTTGTTTTTGCCCACGTGCATTTGTCATTTTATAATGTAATCATAGCATAGCTACAACTTCATATTCTACTGTTTTCACTTAACATGATCCCATAAACATTTCCCTAAGAAGTTCCTATATGTGTTTCTTGGGATTAAAAGGCCAACAAAATGCTGGGCATTGCTGAGAAACATTTTAGAAACAAACGATGAAAATCCTACTTTGGTACAAACTTGGTGCCCCTACAGCTGGCACTGTGCTTATTGTAAGCTTTGTGGACAATGGCTCTCTCTGGAGGTAACTTTGAGCTGGGACCTGAATGATGAGAACTGGCCACGCACCCAATCTGTGGAACGGCATTCTGGGAAGAGAGAATAGCATGTGCAAAGGCCCTTAGGAGGCAACAGGAAAGCACATTAAGAAAGGTTGCCGGCAGATTCATTTCAACTGACAAGTCAATAGAAATTGTTTATTTTATCTTTGTAAAAATTTTAAAGTATCTTTTAAACTACTGAAAAGTGGGTACACCTTTCCTCTAGGATTCTCTACCGATGAAGGAGAAGCCGTATGAAATACTCTTAAAGGTTTGGGACCTCAGACTACGCGCAAGCTCTACATGGAATTTGACTCTTCGTTCACCCCAGTCCCTCACCCAGAACCAGAGTCCAGTCACTTAACTGTAGAGAAAAGGCTGAGGGTCCAAAGACGGTAAACGACTCGTGCAAAATTATTCAGCTTCTTTATAAAGGGTTTTAACTAGGGTTCAATTAGTTTTGCCCTCCACATCAAAGACTGTCTAAAATATAAAAGTAATTCTGTGCACACGACTTCATCGTTGACAAAGCCCTTTGTTAGCTGGGAAATGCGCCCCCACCCCCGGCTCACCTGCCTATTAATTGCATAGTTTCTTGCTCAAAGGCATGAAAATTGAGAAAACCATTCATCCCTGACTCCCTCAGTCTGAGCCTGAAGGCTGGGAGCTGGTTTACGCTTCCTGCTAGAGCCGGTAGGGGGGGCACCCGGCAAGGTTTGTGAGCCGCGCCTCCCCGACGCCCCCTCCTTCCTCGCCCAACCTCCCCATAGACGCCGCTTCAGCTAAAAGTGGCCATTGACCTTTCAAGCTTATGAGCAGTGATGCAATCGAATAGTATTTCAAAGAAAAATGGTTATCGAAATTTTGGATCCGGTTTTTCCATGAGTGTTGATGGTTTTTAAAAAGTAGGTCACATTTCAAGGAGGTCACATTTCGGGGGGCGGGCATGCAGGCAAGTTCCAGCGGTGGCCAGGTGGCCTCCAACCGGGTGGGAGGAGGTGAGGGTCCCGGGCAGGGAAGAAGTGACCGGATCTTTCCGAATTCCCAGTCCCTGGGCGCCAGGCCTGCGGGAATGCGCAGAGACCAGCGCTCTCCCGACTCAGGCACCGAGGCCCGCCGCTCAGCACTTCAGCGCGCCCCTCTGCAGGCGGCGCAGGTGAATGGGGCGGGCCTCCGGGCGGCGGGAGAGAGACGGTGCAGCGGAGAGGAGGACGAGGAGGGGAGGAGTCCGGCTGGGCCGGTGCGGGAGACAGCCAGCAGGACCGCCCGGGGGAGGGGACTGAGAGAGGCCAGCGCCGCTTAAGGAGGCGCCGCTCTCCACCCGCTGGCTGCCTCCTAGGACCTGGGCCGAGGGCACAGCCTCCGGCCTGCTCTCTGCGGCTCTCGGGCGTGGGCACGGGGGCGGAAAAGGGGCCTCCCCCACCCCAGTAATGTGCCTTAAGACAGGAGGGGCCGTTTCCGAAAACCTCTGGTCTCTCCTGTACCCGGCTCACAAAAAGGGCGGCCTGGAGGGTCGCCGAGAGGCGCAGAGGGGATGGGAAAGACAAACCCCCGGGGCGGGCCGAGGGACGAGGATGTCTGTTACTCGCTCGACGCCGGCTAGCACGGGTAGGGGGCAGGCTTCGGCCGCCGAAACCGGATGGTGGTGGCCGGTGGCTTCTCCGGCGTCTCCCAGCACTCCGGGCTGTGGGGTCAGAGGACAGCGGATTCCAGAGCAGTCGCATCGCCCTAACCCGCACCGGAGCGCTCCGAGCCCGCCTCCCCCGAAGCCTGCGCATTAGCGCCCGAGCCTCTTTAAAGCAGTAGCGGGGGCCGCGGTCACGTGAGGCGGATTCCTGGAAAGTTCCTGGAAAGCGGCCTCCCCAGCAGCCGGGCGGGGCGCAGGGCGAGCGCAGACGGGGGAGGGAGGAGGGGAGCGAGGGAGGCGCGTCGGGCTGGGTAGTCGCGCGCGCACGCCGCTCCAGGGACAGACGTTTAACTCTTGCCAAGTCTCGCTGCCGCCGCCGCCCCGCCGCCGCGGCTCGCGGGCCTTGGACTTCCCTTGAAGCATGAGCCTCCTCGCCCGCCGCCACCGGCGCTGCGCGGGCCGCGGACAGTGCGCGCCGGGGCCCCGGGCGCACAGCCTCAGGATCCCCTGCGCCCGCAGCCCGGGCGCCGGAGGAGCTCGGGCCGAGGCTGGCGGCAGGTACCGATCTGGGGAGCCCGAAGGCTCCGCCCGGAGGAGGGTCGTTGGGGAGGGCACCGGGGCGCGGCCGCGAGCGCCCGGCAGCCTGGCTTCCGCAGTTTGGAGCCGCCGGGGCGGGGGGGAGAGTCCGAGCCGCGGCTCTGTCCCGCGGCCGGGCGCTACTGCCTGCTTTTTCCGCTTTCTTCTCGGCGTCGGGGAGTCTCCGGAGTGGCTGTTTTTCCCCCCTAAACTGCCATCCAAATTAATAATCCTAATAACCTGATCTCCCGCTCCTCCCCACCCGCCTGCCTCCCGCCCTAGCGCCTTCCTCCTCCCTCTCTGCTTCCCACCTCCTTGGTCGCAGCCAGAGGGAAACCTAGCAGCTGCCCGGAGCGGGGGTTGTCCGAGCCCGGAGGGGTTGTCGGAGCCCCGGGGTTCTAGGCGATGATCCCCGGGGCTTTTGTTTGCCCTCTGCTCAGAGAACTCCGGCCGCCACCGCAGAGCGCAGGGCTCGTCGCATCCCCAGGCATTTCGTTCCAAATTAAAACTCAGTAGGGGAAACTCGGGTAGACTTGGGCCTCTCCCGGGCCCCTCCCGGCTCCCCCGCCCCATGTCCACTGGGGAGGCTGCCTGGTGTGGAGGCGGCGGCCGAGGCCGAGGTAAGGGCTCGGCGTTCGTCGTCTTGCACGTCCCGAGGCGCTCGCCGCCGCCTGCTCGGCCCTGGCTGCGTCTCCGAGCCCCCGCGAGGGCTGCGCGCTCCGGCCGATTCCTCGACAGCGCCCGCGGCGGCAACAGCAGCGGCAGCCGCCCGGCCCCGGCAGCGACCGCCGCGGCGCGGGACGGCGCCTCCCACCCCTCCCGGAGCGGGCACCGGGCGGCGGGGGGAGGGGAGCGAGGCAGCCTCCGGGTCGGGGATGGGGCTGCTGGCGCACCTCGGCGCCGCAGGCTGGCGGCTGTAGCCCCCGGAGCCCCGCGGCGCTACAGGGCGGGGAACCGGGTGTGTGCTGGGTGGTTCTCCCGGGCCCCCGGGGCTGTGCGGGGTGTGAGATAGCATCGCCCATTTGGGGATCTTTTCTTGAAAATTTTTTCTACTCTTAGTTGACTAGGGCCTATTTACCACCCTACCCGCAGGTGACTCTTTGCCCTTCTAGTCTGCGATTTCAGCAAGCAGCCCTGGGCGGGAAGACACCCTGTTCCCCACCCTCATCCTGTCCCCTCCCTCCCTCCCTCCCCCCGCAACCCCCCGCGCCAACTCTTGCGTCTTGGATCCATGCTCTCTCTTTATCCTCCTTTCTCTAGAGCTGGGCCAGGGCGGTAACTGGATGCTTGGGGTTAAATGGTGCGGGAGCATCGATGCGGAGGAGTCCCCGGGATTTTCCACGTCTGTGTCTTCCCACCCACGCCCCAGCCGTAGGGGTCCAGTTCGAACTGACTCAACCTACACTTTCTCTTTGCAGGCAAACTGTGGGTGACCGCGCCTGCGGGGGACTTTGCCATCCGTCGTTCAGGACCTGGGGAGGAAGAGCCAGCAGCTCCCCATCCCCTCCCCCACCATTCCGGATACCCCCCAGGGACGCGTTTTTGGGTTCCCACTGACTTCCAGGAAGGACGCGTGCCCCTCTTTGACTCCAGCTCGGGCGGCCACCTGTCTTTGCCGCGGTGACCTTTCTCCCATGACCCTGCGGTGCCTCGAGCCCTCCGGGAATGGCGCGGAAGGGACACGGAGCCAGTGGGGGACCGCAGGGTCGGCGGAGGAGCCGTCCCCGGAGGCGGCGCGTCTGGCGAAGGCCCTCCGGGAGCTCAGTCAAACAGGTAGGGAGCGGACCGGCCACGAGGCGTGCGGGAGGGGGCGCCTCCCCACAGACGCGGCTGGGGGCTGTGCTGGCGGGGAGCACAGCTGGGAAGTGGGGCCGAGGAGGGAAGCAAAGAATGGGATAGAAAGACGTCCTCTCGCTTCCCTTCCCCGCCTCAGGGCGGGGGACCGCGGAGAGGATGCCCGCGCGGCCCTGGATCCTTGGAGTGCAAAAGGAAAGTGGTTCTCGAGGGACTCAGGGGCCTGGGGGAGGGCAAAGCCGAGAAGGGCTCCTTGGAAACAACCTCTTAGGGCACTGGAGCGTTTTCTATTTTCCGCGGCTGCTCGAGAATCGGCGCTCGGGCTCGAACGCGAGTCGGAGAAAGTGCCCGGAGCCTCCCTTTCCGCGGGGTGCGCGGGCGGCTAGTGGGCGCTGCGCTGCTCGCAGCTTCAGCTGCATCCGGCTGCCGGGCGGAGCAGCCGCTGCAGCCCGGGATCTTGGCGGCCAAGTCCAGGGACCGCCAGATTGCCGCGCGGGCGGCCGCCGCAGCCGGGAGGCGCGCGGCCTGCAGGGGCGGCGCGCCCGGGAGGGTAGTGCTGGTTTCAAGCGCGGTCCTGCGCTTTGCGCAGCTCGCTGTCGTCTCTCCGCATCTGAAAGAAGAAAAGATTGGGGGAAAAAAAAATTCTGGCCGACCATGCAAGCTTTCAAAACCTGCCCCAAAAGCTTTCGTTTGGGGCAAAGTTGAAGTTTTGGTAGGACTAGGAAGAGGGGAAAGTCCCTCACTTGCGGTTCCGGCCTTTCCGTGCCGGCCACGGGCTTTCCTTCGGCGGGAGGAACCCGCAGGTTGCAGGTATCCCACCAGTTTGGGGGCCGCAGCGGGGAGAGGTGTGGGCACATTGTTCAAACTTCTTAAATGCAGAATGTCTTTAAGTAGTTTTTGGAAACGGGATGGGTCCAGGAGATGGTGCAGGCAGATCGAATCTGGGGACCGACGGTTGTCATGGGGTTTGGATTCCAGCAGAGTCCGAAAGAGTTTAGGGGAAGACTGCAACCTTGAAGTAGTAATTATCAACTGGGGTTTCCCTCCTTTCTCGGTGACTGATAAGGCAGTTGTAATCACAGCAGCAAACGGAAGCTATTGTTCTAGAACTTTTAAACAAGCAAATAGCCGTGCTTTGAACAGTGAGATGCGGCCATTAGCAGATTTGGGGAGAGTGGGGGTGAGGACCGAGCACCCAAAACGTTGCTTCTGTGTTTACCCTATTGGAATTACTAGAGTTGGGTTATCCAGTTTTTTAAGGGCATGGCTTTTATTTCTAACTTCTGATTAGTTGTTTCTAATTTGTTTTAAATCTTTGATTTCACTCAAATAGTGCTAGAAGCATCCCTGCGTTGTCAGCCCGTTTGTCATATTGCAAATATCCCTTTGTTTGGTTGGGAGGAAATCTTAAGAAGGTTTAAAGAAGAGCTACAGAAAGTTAGTTTGTAAAAAAGAAAACTGGCTCACAGTTTGTGTTCCTAAAATAAAACGGACCCACATTTTCATTAAATTTCTACCGAAAGAATTTTGGTAGCCTCTGGTAAACTTTGATTCACACACTTCTTAGAGCTAGAAAAATTGTTGCCAAGTACTTGCCCTATTTTAAGAATTCTTTATAATAACTATTTTATCCTCTTTTCTTTTTCTTTTTGAACAAAAACCCCAGGTTGGTACTGGGGAAGTATGACTGTTAATGAAGCCAAAGAGAAATTAAAAGAGGCACCAGAAGGAACTTTCTTGATTAGAGATAGTTCGCATTCAGACTACCTACTAACAATCTCTGTTAAAACGTCCGCTGGACCGACTAACCTGCGAATCGAATACCAAGATGGGAAGTTCAGATTGGACTCTATCATATGTGTCAAGTCCAAGCTTAAACAGTTTGACAGTGTGGTTCATCTGATCGACTACTACGTTCAGATGTGCAAGGATAAGCGAACGGGCCCAGAAGCCCCCCGGAACGGCACTGTTCACCTTTATCTGACCAAACCGCTCTACACGTCCGCGCCGCCTCTGCAGCATCTCTGCAGACTCACCATTAACAAATGCACCGGTACCATCTGGGGACTGCCTTTACCAACAAGACTAAAAGATTACTTGGAAGAATATAAATTCCAGGTATAAGCGTTTCTCTTTCTCTAAACATGCCTCATATAGAGTATCTCCGAATGCAGCTATTGTAAAAGAGAACCAAAACTTGAGCGACTGCTCTGGATACCTCCACGGAATCCTGAGAACAGCTGAAGTCAATCTAATTTAAACATGTGTGTCCAGGTAGCCAGGTATTTAAAGTTCCCCCGAATATTTTCACCCGAGTGAGGCTTCCCTTCCTAAGGCAGGCCAAGACCCGTTGATCCTTTTGAGTTAAACATAAAATGTCCCCAGGAGAGGCTGAAGGAACATTCGATCGGGATGCCTTGTCTTTCGGAAGTTCCTTTCTTTGAGGGCGAAGGTCCGAGTGCTGGTAATAGAGAAAGAACTGCCACCTAGGAGTCCTGAAGAAGTGAAGGACCCACACTGACACGGGCTTGACGTCAATGTCATATGCCTAGTGATCAGAGTCTGTTTTAGGACATTTTGTATTTTGCATTCTGATATACCTAGGAGTCTTGTTAAACAGATATGCTTCTGAGTATTTATCCTTCATTTTATGCAATTAACCAAATCAACCAAAAAAAAAAAGTGACCACGAAATCCTGTATTTGTCTTTTTACTACAGGTATGAACTCTCTCCTGCGAATGAGTACTGTAGTAATCCATTCTAAGGGAGCCTTATTTCAGAAATATTTCAAACTGGTGCAAATGGAAAAGACTTTGTCTTTTCCTTTAAGGCTAAAGACAAGAATGTCACGCTCTACAGGTGCCACTCAATCATGTTAATAAAACCGTGTAGATAGAGACCTTTTACCCTTTGAAGTAGTTCTGTCCCAACCTGTGGCCATTGATTTTTTGGAAATGGCTTTAGAAAGTTCCAGGTTGTCCTGGGATTGTCTAACCATGGACATCAGCAGTTGTCTCCCTTCTACCGTGTAGAATACTTTGACTTAATTTTCTTCCAGATATAGGGGGATACCTGCCTGTTTTTCAAGTGTTTATTTACTGCTGTTACTATTTGATTAGAATGTATTAAATAAAAAAAACTTGACTTTTACAAGTTGCTCTTATGACTTTGAATCGTAGAGAACACGCACTTTCATGGTAATAGAGGGTTGCCATAAAAACTTGTGTCAAATGAAAGAAGCCACATATTCAGTGAGAGGGAAAACATTACTTGCCCTTCTTAAAGTTTGGGGCTGCGTTTGCCCTTTGCGTTTTGGAAAGCATGGTTTAGAAACTGCAAGAATTGCCGTCTTTTACAAGTTGAATGGGCGTAACACAAATGCCCTTTATCTTTCCAGAAACATGGTTTAGAAACTACGAAAATTGTGACATATCCTAGTCTTTTAAAGGTTGAGTAGGCATAATACAAAATAAAAATTAAAAATCTGATGGCCATTTTCCTTTTGCCACACAGTCTCATGACTGTTGGAAATGTACCATCTTTTCCGGAGTCCAGACATTATTCATTTTGCCACCTTTTGAAAACAATTCCTGCATAGCTGCATATGATGGTGTGAAACTGGGGAGGGGAGTCTAGTATATCATGTGTGGCCCCAAGCAAACTAAAAAATTCAGTTAGAAATTATAGTAAAACCTGCTTATCGCATATCATGAAAATATTCATTTTCATGAAGCTCCAAAAAATGGTTTTGTGCCTGGAAGGAAAACATAACAATTTGTGTCCAAATGGCAGAGCCAAACACAAAAGATTGCCAGGTGTGCCTTGGGAAGAATTTGTAGCCTAAAATGTCAAGAAGAGCTATACTTTTAGGGTCTGGTCTGTGATGGGGAGATAAACTTTTCATCGGGATGTTCAGATTCTGTGCTTTTTTTACTCCTTTTCCCCACTGACAACAGTTGTCCAGTGTGGGATGTTTGACTTTTCTGGCAAAACTCCCACATGATCAGTGCTAAGGGACTTTGTGGAATTTCTTTAAGGTCTTTTGCATTTCTGTTCTCATTGTCTCAAACACTGATGCTTCTCAGTTGAGAGTTGGATGCACTAGTGGGGTATGAGTCCCCGTGGAATTGTGGAAAGTTCTGCATTATTACCAGCAAGTGACTAATTATGAGAAAACCAGAGGACAGCAAAGATATCTCCGGAGTGTGCTGTGGAACTATTGGCCTTACATTTCAATCTTTCATGTTCCAAGTAGATTGATAAGCATCAGGAGATAGTCTGTTTTGTTTTGTTTTGTTGGTTATTTGTTTTTTTTTACAATTACTAACATCGTTTATTTATCGAGTTTATTGTGTGCCAGGTTCTCGCTCAGCACTTTGCATGCATTATCTCATTTCATCTTCACGCCAACCAGATGAACAAGGTACAGTGGTTACAGGAGGCACGCTGATGATCTGTGAGTGAGGAGGCCTTCCAGGAATATCCCAGCCCTTTTTAATTCCTGGAGAGGAATTACAAAGAGCAAATTGCTGCTATTTCTGCATTGATCCAGATGAACAAGTCAGAGCAGGCCATAAAAGGAACCCTCAGCGTTTTTACTGCTGCCTGGACCAGAAAAGTCCAGGTGCCTTAATGAGTGTTGTGCTCTGTGGGAGTCTAGTCAGCCTGGTTGGCCCAGTGGTTTTTTTCCTGGTGTGGGGGTGAGTAGGAAGGGGGTTAGCTGTTTTCCTTGACGTCTGATAAATGATGCCAGTTACCAACTATTGGTACCCTCATTTTACAGACAATCCAACAAAAAAGTTAGGATGGACACTTGTCTAAATTATCCTCAACAGAGCGAGGAAAGAGATCCAGAGTTCTCTGCCCGTGCAGGGCAGTTTGGAGCATTAGTGAGGGTATGTATGACTGTTATTGTTGGAGAAGATAGTATACAGGGCTTATATAGCCCGCGTGGACTTAAAATATTTTGATCTGCGTTTCCATTCTGAGCAGAGTTGAAGCAGTGAAGTTTCTCATTCCATCACAGTGGGCACTGGGGACTGCTTTTTAGGGACTTGGGGGTTTTTTTAGGGCTTCAGACAGCAGAGCAAAGGCAGTTTGGCTTCTGAGCTGAGAGCTCTTTTTTGGCGTGTCAGTAAGAAAGTCTTGACTTCATAGTAATTATGTAATCCAAATAGGTAACAGAATGGGACAGTTGTTTGGGAGTGTTTATTTTCTTGGGAAGGATTTTCTCTGCTTTTAGAAAATTGTACCCTGGTAGGAGGATGGGCGACAGAGACGTCATCAAATAATCCATGGGATGGAATGTCCTGAGACCAGGCCTGCCGTGCCCTTCCTGGTTGTGGGTTTAGGCCCAGGGTAGCGGGGTTGAGTGGCCGGGGCTACATCTAACAGCTGGGCTGAGGCCTCCCTGGTCTCTGAGTAGTCCTTTCTAGCCTTTGCAGCAAAAAAGTGTTGTCATTCATTCTAGGCCTTTCGTTTACTAAGAGGCCTGTAACCTCTCCTAATTTTTACTTTCCTGGAATTTTAAAGCTGGAAACCACTTTGCAGATGACATATTTTAGTTCCATCATTCTACTGAAGAAGGTTTCAGACCCAGCGCGGTCAGGAGATTCGCGGGTACGTGCACCCACGGACACACACACAATTAACCCACTAAGTCAGCGGCAGAGTCCGTCTTTGAACATAGATCTTTTAATCTCAGGTTTCGTATCTGTAAAAGCTGTACGCTTCTACCCTTTGTTGAAATTGTCAGTACTCTTCTTTGCTACCCTGTAAGCCCTACGGTTCGTTTAACATCATGTTTTTCTTCCTCTGAAGTTTAGACAACTGGCCTTTGGAATACCATGTGGGATAATGCCAGTTCTTGGCTCCTTCCACCCCACCTGGAAGAAGCAGCCTCTGCTGGGTGTCGTGATGTCTTGATCCACAATAGAGTTTTGCGTTGGTTATAACTCCTCAACGTTTCTAATCTATTTGCAGTTTTAAAATCTAAAACCTGTCCTCCATGCTGTTTTATGATGTCATTTCTGCCTCTGCCAGCTGTGACTCACACACAGCCATCGATGCCGGGTGACTGCCCACCCTCGTGTCCTCGCCAGTGGAACCCATTCTTTCTTTTGACCGCTCACGGGCATAATGGCACAGTTAATTCCTGCCTTACTTTCTCCCTTTTGTATCGTAAAGTTGCCCTTTTAGCTCATCTGACACAGCCCTGCTGGCTATATTATTGTGCGGTGAAAGAGGGCAATTATATTCTCCTTGAGTTGGGTAATTGAGTGATTTAGAACACCTTAAGATTAAACGTCTCTTTGTCTCTCTGTTTGATTCATTTCAGGTTTTAAAACAAGTAGCCAGCCCCAGATGCCACACTTGTTACGTGCATGTTTTTATTTTTTGTATTTAAAGTATCAGAGGCACCTCCTTCCCTAGCTTGCACTTCATTTGAGCAGAATGGAAACGCCCTCCTTTCCTGCCCTTCTGCTTGTCCATGCGTAAGAATGATTCTTTGATAGTTTGTTTCACTCCTACGTGCGCATATTTTTCTTGTATTCTCATCTTCACATATTTTCGATTTTTCTAATTTTTCCTCTCTGTGGCTTGAGTTCAGGTTACTTCACTTTATTGCTAAAGTAAAGTACCAGCTGTTGCTACAGTAGCCTTTCAAAGCCCTGGCGTCCCAGAAGCCTAGATAGTAAGTAAGCTGGAATCATAGAGCAAAGCTGGGTCTCCCCAGCCCTTTGGGAGCTTTGTCAGCAAGAGAGGCTGGATCAGGCGAGTATTATCAGAGAGTGGGGTTCGCTTGAGTAAACAGTTACTGAGCCATAAAAATAAACCTGCTTTTATAGACAACTCTCTCTCTGAACTACATCCTTAGCTTACAGGAACTCTGACTTGCCCTAGCGATCAGGAGCACGTTTTGTGACTCGTGGTGCTGCCTCTCTTAGAAACAGAGGGAAGGGGAAGGCAAGCCCTAGTCCTGGTGAGAGGGAAGGAAGTACTTGCCCGCTCCCTTCCTCTTCTGTCTAAGCATAAACAACCCCCAGGGAGCCCCTTTCCTATGGCAGAAACAGTGAGACTTTTTTTCCTGGTTAAATCATCACAGAACTTCATAAAATTTTCCTGTATCTCCCCGCTTTCCCACGGTGTTAAGATAAAATTTATATTTTGTTAAAGTTTTCCTTTCTGTGAGTTTGGTATGCTTTTTCCTGTTTAGATTTTGGTCCAGAGAGCTGCTGTGATCTTTAACATTCAGAAAAATATTTTCCATGTTCTTTGTATGCAGAGAAGTTGTTTGATTTCCCATTTTAACATCCCCTCTGCTGTCCTGATGAACCTGACCCTTCTTAGGTTTCCAGCACAGCTTCTTTCTCCTCATTTCCATTTCCAGGTTGCGGCCATCAATTTTATATTTGGTCAGAAAGTGTGTTTGCATTTTGCACATTTGACAAGAGCATCTGCTTTCAATTATCCGCAGTAATAAGGGACAGAGAAATTGGGGACAACTGAAACCCATAAACACATCTCGCTAATCCTTTCAGCTTCCTCCCCATTCAATCTCCCTCAGTAGAACCACTGACAAAAAAATCAGCTGCTTCTCTGGTCTCTCGTTTTATTTTCCCTGTCCATCAAGCAATAAGGATGTTAAGAAACGACAAAGTGACTAAAAAGATGGCAAGAATGAGAAAATGAAGGAGGATGGAGAATGAGTGGTGTGCTGAGGGCTCCTGAGAGCTGACTGTTAAATGCTGGGATTCCCTGAGCTAAATCATTGGTAGGTTTCAAGCAGCTGTGGTGGGAGTAGTTCCGCCACAGAAATTGGCAGGCGCTAGAAATTAAGGTTCCCCCACCCCAGATAGCTGGTTTAACAACACCCCTCTGATTTGGGTGTTACATCCTCCTCAATAATTGAGACCTCACTAGAGTAAGATCAGTTTTTTGTATCCTTCTTTGTACCAACCTCAGCATTTAGAGCAGAGTAGGAATGAACAATTTGAGGAAGGAATTTTTTTTTAAGTATACATGCCAATCCTCTATCAGGCTACACTGTCTTCTACTGGTAGATGGTCAGTCTCGTAATTCAGCGTCTTTTCCTGGTTACACAGTAGCATCTGTGGATGCCCTTTCAGAGTTTATTAGTAGGAAGAGAG